GCTTCAGGAAACAGTATGCAACATGTTTAGAACCGTTCTGCACATTACATGGTCTTTTTCTTCAGAGGAGGTGAACTCAGTTGTAATGGTAAGCCATTTGTCACATGAATCTCCACGAAGTACCAATTTAGTTGAAGTATTTATACTGTAACATCTCTCTCTCTCTCTCTATATATATACAGTATATATACATGCTGTAAGAATAATAAAGTAAAGACTTCAAAGAGTCTTTTTTTCAACAGAGACAGCGCTGGGAGCTTTCAACTAAATGGTGTCTTAATGCAATCAGCACAGGAGCTCATGTACTGAAGGGAAAAGTCTACATGAATTACATGATAGACCTCAGAGTAACTAACAGCAAGCTGTACAGGAGAGCCATCAACATTTTACAGGTACATACATACTGTTAGAATCAAATTAAACCCCAAGTTAGATTAGACCTCATAAATGCCAAACAACAACCTGTTTTTGATCTCTTATAGAAACTATACAGTGGAGATCAAAATTAGAGAACAATCTATAAACACTTGATTTTTTTCTGAAATATTGTTAATCTTCATCTGTCAAAATTTGAAGGAATATTAGCTGTGGGTATACCACTGTTCTACTAACATGTTTGACAAAATAACCAATTAAGAATCTTTTATTTTTAAGAGCGTAGCATTATAGCAAGAGTTTTGGATGGCCAAACCACTCATATTTTCTTCAGAAAATATCGTTTGAATTTGAAAGAAATGTTATATCTGGCTATTTTTAACTTTCAGTTTTGAAAACTGATTGAGCTGGAACTGTAATACAACCCCTGTGTGTGATTTCCGTATGGTGGGTTTAATTATATACCATCACTGTCAGCGGTTCACAGGCTGCTCCAAATGCGAGTGTGAAAGAGCTCTACTGAGAGCCATCTACGGTACAGATGACCTGAGTGAAGACATGGCATCAGTAGATGTGTGGAAACACACAGATGCGGCTAACAGACAAGATCGAGTAAGAACTCGCTTATTTATCTTCAGTATTAAAGATTGCCTAACACTTATTTTTAAAAGAATATTTACACTAACAAAGAATAGTAGGTAACACATTAGTTAACATTATTTAACGCATTAACTAATATTAAAGGGATATTTAACTCAAAAAATGAAAAATGTTGAAAATGTTCATCACCATCAGGCCATCCAAGATGTAGATGAGTTAGTTTGTTCATTAGATTCGGAGAAATGTAGCACTGCATAACTTGCTCACCAATGGATGCTCTGCAGTGAATGGGTGCCGTCAGAATGAGAGTCCAAACAGCTGATAAAAACATCACAATGATCCACACCACTCCAGTCCATCAGTTAACATCTTGTGAAATGAAAAGCTGATTTGTTTGTAAGAAACAAATCCATCACTGGATGAGAAAGCAATAATTTCGACTCTCATTTTAGCCGGAATGGTTTAAAGTTAAAACGTCTTAATGATGGATTTGTTTCTTACAAACACTCCAAATCTGTGAAGAAACAAACTCAGCTACATCTTGAATGGAGTCAATTATGAACAAATTTTCATTTTCTGGTGAACCTTTCCTTGAACTATTATACACTTTAATAAAAGCATTGCGTTATTTTCAAAGGCAGGTTTAACTGTGATACCTGATATGTTCTGCACTGGCAGGTGGTCCCGACTGCACTGGTGATGATGCAGTGCGGCTGCACTCTCGCTGAA